TCTATGTCTACTTTACTACTTCTGCAGAGTTAAATACTTAAACTAGCATGTTGATTCCCTTTTGCTTGTTTCTACTATGAATCCCTATTCCCTATTTCCCTTTATGTGCTTTGAGTTACAGTTTAAGACATGGCAATATACAAGTTATTGTTTATGGATTGAACTTGATCCCCTAGGGGATCCTAACCTCTAAACAATGTGTTCTAGTAGGCTTATGGGTGTGCCAACATCTTCCATTGTTGGGTTATGCCCACTAGCCTATTTTTTACCTCTTGCAACTCCTCATTCCCTATATCCCCATGCGTGCTGTTTCCTTTTCCCTTTCCTCCTTTCAGAATTCTGCACTTACACTCTCTCTTAGTTCCTAAGTTCTGCCCCCACCCTCTTGTGAGCCTTGCCTTGGGACCTTGAGTTCCCTCTGAACTTGGACACCTGAGGGCTGACCCTTCCATACTGCACTTTGGCTTAATATGGTGATACATTTGGGTGTAAGCACTGCCCGGAGTTCTTATGAAACTCTTAGGGAACTCTGACACACCCAAGTGAGAGAAAGGCTTTGAAACATGATCTTTGGAGTTGGTTTACTTCATACTTCAGACAGGAAGTCTGAATCAGGCTCTCTTTGGTTGTAATTTTTAATTTTTGATGTATTTTTCTTTATTTTATTTGGACTGTAATAATTTGTAATAACTTTTGGGGATGGTTAGTAAAAAGGGAAAGGTAACCATGCATGTAAAAGGAGTAAATATCCTGCTCATAGGGAATTTCTGATTTCTGCATATCACATAGATATCCTGCCTATAGGAATTCTGATGTAGATACTATGCCTATAAGGAATTCTGCACCCATATTGATATCCTGCCTATAGTTAAATTTTTGCATCTCTCATATAGATACCATGCTCATAGTTAACTGGAAATCCGAATCCTGCTAGGCAAACCTGTTTATAGGGCTTAAACAACTAACTGCATTTAAATATCATATTCATAGGCTTAAACGAAGTACAACATTTAGATGCCATGCCTATAGGATTTCTGCACTCTTGCTATGTCTGTAAAAGTATTTAAAATCACCAACACCTAGAAAGCATGTGGAATTAATAACCAAGTCTGAAGCATCTCACTCGCCTACAGATCTAAAATCATCGTCTAACGTCTGTGGAATTTATGATCTTTTGTCAAAACTCGTCTTTCCTGAATAACTTACAACCTTTTTCTAAAGTCAGTATACTTCATCTTTTCTGAAACTAGTAGATATCATGCCTATAGGTTTTCGTCTAACACTTAGGCAAGCCATAGGGCAGTTTATAAACTGAATCAGATTTTATTAACTACAACCAGCAAGCAGGCCTGATTCGGGCTTCTTATATAAAATATGCAATAAATCAGTCTGCCCCAACTGTTAAGTTTAATCAGACCCTAATCAGTACGTGTAAGACATGCTAAACTATATGATTTTCTTTGATTTAAGGAGGTCTGTTTGAGCCCTTTTATCTGTTTATATGCTTCCCCAAACTTGTTATATGTGTTTTGTTTGCCGCCTTAGTATTTTACCTTTTGAAATCACAAATAATCCCATACCTCCTCCCTCTAGGATTAGTAGTCCCAAGTGCCTCCAGGGCTAATAGGATTGGAGCGGGTAATAACATGTAATAAGTAAACGAGACCATTTTGCGCTTTAATACCTTAATGAGGTGGGAAGAGTAGATATGGATATGATGACCACGCAATAACATCATGTGTAGCCCATCACTGAGGAGTGATTACCGGATGTTGTGTGGGGTGATCCATATTATTAATAAACCTAGGACCCCCCTTTCCTTTGTTTTATTTGTTTCTTTTAAATCTTTTTTAAACCATTTCTTTTAAGAAAATCAACTCTTTTAGTTCCTTTTTCTTACTTTTGTTTATTTGTAACCATTACGTGAAAACCCCCTCTTATTTGAAGCCTTTATTTGCCTATGCATTATTTGCACTTAAGTCACAACAATAGTTTGGCCGGGAACCATACTAGTGGATTCTGAGGGGTGCCTAACACCTTTCCCTTGGGATAATTTCAAGCCCTTACCCAATCTCTGGTTACTCAAAACAAACTCATCCTAGTGTCCTAATGTACTTTAATCTATATGAATATTTATTTATCTTCATCTAAAAAAAAAAGAATTAATTAATATTTTAATACTCTTTATTATATCATTGCAAAAAATTACATGGTAAAAGTAAAAAAGGGAGCTAGGGTTAAAACTAGTGGTTCAATTGTAAAAAACTCATTTTCTCTTTGCTCTCATCGGAGAAAAGGCTACACTAATATGTCACTAGCGATTTTTTCCATTAATCTTGGTTCTAACCTCTATTGCATTGTCTATTCTTGCTTCTGTTAAAAAATCGGGATAAAAACTAGGGTTTCTGCTCCTAAATCGGTATAGAAGATTATGGTTTCGATAGACCTAAATTATGAAGATTGTTGAAAAGAGATACCAAAATTGTTAAAGAAGATAGCTACACACAGGTCCTATTTTTTTATTTCCTAATTTTTTGAAAGGCGTTAAACCTTATGCTATACTAATACTTGAATGAGTGCTCCTCCTTTCAAATAAATTTAGGTAAGAAATGAAGGATGACTAAAACGAGAAAGATAAGAAATAAAATCAGAAATAATAAGAAGAGAGAATTCAGACAGATTCAAATGAAGAAATAGAGAAGAAAGGTGAAAAAATGGAAAAGAAAGGTATAAAATTGAGAAAGAAAGGTAAAATATATAGAAAAAGAGGAGAAAATAAAAAGAAATATAAATTCTAAAAAAGAAGGGCTAATTAGCTGTTAGAAACGCCATTTGAATGGCTTTTTTTAGCCTTTATGTGCTCTTAGGCGATTTATTACCCACATAATGTTACTTAAGCGACGAGAGGTTTTTATTATGAAGAGGGATGGTTCAGGGGGTTTTCAGGAACCGTCAATAAATTAGATAGACACCTGACAAACGTTATAGAGTTTAGGCGGGTACTAGGGTATAAACTCTTTGTTTTAAGGATTACGAGGCTGGAATACATTTGCAATTTTAAAGGCCACCTACTAATTGATACTGGGGCGCTGCAGCCAGTGTTCATATATTAATGGAATTTGAACTTAATATATCTTTTTTTAACATTTCATCTTGTCCATTAAGTCAAAGTTCAATTGGAAAACTTCACTTCTTATGCACCATATAGATTTTCGACTCACCGATCACTTGGTTTCTCATGTATCTTAAAGGTTTCATTAATTTTGGGTTCAACTGTATCTTCTTTTTCTTCCCCTTTCTAGTCGATTAGTTTTATCAGCAGCAATAAATTCAGGATTTAGAGTATTTTGATTCAAAATATATGTAATCTCATTTTAAGAATACATTTTTCATATTTTATTTTTGCACATACAACATTAGTTTGGTCTTCTGCTGTATAGCAATGAAGTTTTGCCCTTTTCTAAAAGGAATAGAAGCTTGCTTTGGCAGCATTGACTATTGTGGAAAATAATAGAGCAACCTTATAAAGCATTAATTATCAAGTGGGGAAAAAAAATTGAATGAGATGTCTCCCCACACCCCCTCCTTTTTTTCTTTGACAATTTTTAAAATGCTAAAAATTGGCATGCGAAGTCTTCTATTAGCGCCCCTAGCACTTTGTCACACATCCCTTTCCAAGAGGAAAATTTTATTTCTGACATTTTTTTTGTGCTTGTAGGAGGGAAAGATATAAAATGGAAACAAGAAAAAAAAAATATACAAGTAGTTATTTAGTTAATTTGCTATGGTGTATTATATGTGGTATTTTAGGAACTTGTAACAAATTATTAATGGTGTCAGTAGGAATTGAACCAATGATCTCATAGAAGTTTTGAACCCCTTAAACACTACGTTACGCTTTTTGATTGTGTCAATGAAATTTAAAATATAATATATAGAGGTACAAAATGAGTTTTACCTTGTATGTACGTGTAATTTCCCCACAAAGGACCCCTTCCCGCGGCCCTAAATCCGCCCTTGCAAATTATAATTATAATAAGGATAAAAGAAAAAACTCAGTTTATCTCTTGGCCCTACTAGTATTCACAATAGCCACTTCTGCCCACTCAAACATCCAACCTAACATTTGGCCTATTTGAATTAATTTTAAGATTTAGTGCATAGCTCAATAGTGTTATCTAAATAAGACATGATTGGTTTGTTAGTGTGTAATTTCTGATCTTGAAAGTGCATTTGGACTTTCTTGTAACATTAGCAAAAAAAATCTTGAGGGTAAAAGATCACAAAATCTTTTAAAAATCCATAACAAAGTACATTGTTGGGATTTAATAATAAGAAATGCTTATAAGATAGTGTTTTTATATATTAAAATTTTGTTTCTTTTATATAATTTTCGAACATAAATATCAGGAATACATTTAGTAATTACAATATAATTACGTGAAATTAACATAAACAAATATTTTGTTAAATCAAGAGATACATTGAGAATAACATATTTACCATATTCTATTTGTTACTGTTCAAAAATTCCTTTCATTCTTCAACATATTTGTATGAACAACTATTGCTGCTAAAAATATTTAAAACATTAGGGTAGAAAATAATTTACAAGCCGAAATACTATTCTTAAAATAATTAAAACTTTGCATTTGACATCTTTAAAAGAACACTTTCATTTGCATTTTCATCACAAATTATGCTGAAAACCCCTTCAAATTTGGTTCTACCATATTTCTTTTGTTCATATTAGAAACAAGAGATTCTACCTTCCATTTCTAAAAATGAAAAAAAAAATCTAAAAAACTTTATGAATTATACCAAAAGGGTCAAATTGGAAACAATATAATACCCAAGGGCCAAAATGAAAAACCAAAAAAAAAAAGAAAAAACATTTTGCATGTTAATGTTTTTTTCTCTTCCCTCCACATCTATCCAAAACCAAAATTCCCTCCCTTCCCTCGTTTTCTCCTTTTCTTCCTTCCCTTCCAAAGCCCCTTTCCCCCATTTCCACCCCAACCACCCACCCCCTATACCCACTACCCCTTCTCTAAAACCCTTCTCTTCTTACAATCCCAAAAATCTTTAGCTTAAGGGGTATCCATTCCATGTCTTTTGATACAAAAATGACAGGTTCAGATGCACCGCCCACTGGTGTGGCGGCGCCACCGGCTGCTCAGTCATCATCCGCCGCCGTGAACGGCGGAGGGAGGAGTCAGATCTCCCAGCCGATCAGACGATACCTGCCCTTTGCTTCAATGAGGCCGCCATTTGTTAGTCCTGAGGATTACCACCGATTTGGTGGTGTTGATTCTCGGATTGGGTCCCCTACTTTACAGCCTGATGCTATTGTTGTTAAGTCCCCTGTGAGTTGAATTAGATATTTTGTGGGGTTTGATAAAATGTAGAGAAAATGGCGTAATTTTGTGTTTAATTGTTGCTGTTTTGTGCATTTTGTGGTTACTCGAATTCTTGTTAACCTGCATTATTCGCATTTCATTGTGTGGATAAACTTTGAGCTAATTTATGTGGTTGAATTGTTGTTTGGAGCCTGGTATTGAGTTGGTTAAGTTAACAAATTTGCTTCAGGAACCATATGCTATAGCAAATTCCTTTTTTTTTTAATTACCCAAGAGGTCATTTGCCTCTTGTTAGCTGAAAACTTTCGAACACTGCTGGATAAATTTGGTAAAACAGAGTAAATGAGTGGAGTGAGTTGGTTGTGAATTCTACTATTCTGCCATTTGTGTATGCACATGTGACAAGATTGAATAATACTCTAATATGCCCAAATCAAGAATATTTTTAGTCGGGTTTTGAGTAGTAACCCTAAATCGGACCTTTAGATAAACAGATTATTCTAGATACTCAAGTTTATCCCAGGGAATATTGAGAGTGTTCTCATAATCATCCCCTCATTTGCTATGTATTACTTGTTTATCACTTATGTAACTTATTTCTACTTTGCACACTTTATGCCCATGTAGGCACTAAAGCGGAAGGGTGGGATGGGCTATAAAGCAGTTGAGTCCTGTGACTGGACTGCTAATCCTGGGTATTCGGATGTGGCCAATAGTCCACTTGGAACGCCAGTGTCTGGAAAAGGAGGAAGAGCAAATGGACGGTCAAGAGCCACAAAAAGCAATAAATCTGGACCTCCAACTCCTGTCTCTAATGTTGGTGAGGCTTGGTATCCAAACCTTTTTTGTCTTGTTTGTAACTGGATATATGTCAGGCACAAGTAAATTTCAAATTTTATTTCCTCTTGATCTATCTATAGGTTGTGACGTAACCAACATAGTTGCAGTGGTTAAATATTTTCTTAACAACTTTTGGGTTGCAAATTTGCAGGTTCTCCTTCTCCTCTTACACCTGCAAGTTGCCGTTACGACAGTTCATTGGGTATTTAATGATTTTTTGCCCATTGATTGGTTTGTTGTAAATTTATTAATGGGAAGCGTGACTTTATGGTGGAATAAACCCATAGATTGAGCCACTGTTTTCTGTTCAGGTCTTCTAACCAAGAAATTTATCAACTTGATCAAGCATGCTGAAGATGGTATGCTTGATCTTAACCAGGCTGCAGATACTTTGGAGGTGATGTATCTTTTAGCTAGAAGTTCTTTCGATGCATTGTTAAAATCTGATTGTAATTTTCTGATCTTACAGGTGCAGAAAAGAAGGATATATGATATAACAAATGTGCTTGAAGGAATTGGTCTTATTGAAAAGAAGCTCAAGAACAGAATACAATGGAAGTAAGCTAGCTTTGCTTGGATATAAACACATATCTTCCATTAAGCATCTGAAGCTATACTGATTCGCTAATTCCATAATTACTCTCTAGGGGTGTTGATGCTTCTAGACCTGGAGAAGTGGATAATGATGCTGCCATTTTAAAGGTATTTGGATATTATTCCGTAACTTATTTGATTGCTAAGATAGTGCCTTCTCATCTATGTTATGATGGTCCATGTATAAGACATATGCACTATTAAATCAGTTTTCACCACTTAAATAGAGCTGCAGTTCTATGAGAACCGCAACTTGAAGTAATGTATTATTGAAAGTGAAACTTTCTAGTGAGTTTCTTGCTATTTCTGCAGGCAGAAACTGAAAGCCTTTCGATAGAAGAGCGAAGATTGGATGACCGAGTTAGGTATGTTGTTTGTCAGCTAAATCAGTAGTTCATGCTTCTTCCTTGAACTATATTGTCATGCTGATGTTTAGATCGTTACAGAGAATTGCAAGAAAAGTTAAGGGATATGAGTGAAGATGAAGACAACCAAAAGTAACTTCTTGTACCTGTCCTCACATATATAGTTGTAACCTAGATTGATAATTTGCTCTTCGCTAACAACAATTTCAACTCTGACTGAATTAGATGGCTTTTTGTAACTGAAGAAGATATAAAGAGCCTACCTTGCTTTCAGGTTCATTTTATAATTTATGTGTTTTCTTTTTTAACCACTTCATCTCTGTTGCAGAACGACTACATTTTTAGTGTCCTCTGCTCAAATATCTTATGAATAAGTTTATACTCTTTAATCCTGGCAGAATGAGACCCTCATAGCAGTTAAAGCTCCTCATGGCACCACCCTGGAAGTCCCAGATCCTGACGAGGTAAGTTGAGAAGGGAAGCAAATCCGAGAAAATATATTACATATATCTTATAGGTAAAATAACATGCTTTTTCTGCAGGCTGTGGACTATCCACAAAGGAGATATAGAATTATACTCAGAAGCACAATGGGTCCAATTGATGTCTACCTCGTCAGGTACTGCTGGCTTCTTGAGCCATAAGCATGTCCTGGTCCTCTTTCCTTTGTAATACTAACTCTTGAAAAATGTTATCTGACTCTCGTATTTGATATTTTCCTTTTGAACTTCATGCTTGATTAGTCAATTCGAGGAGAAGTTTGAGGAGATGAATAGTGTTGAACCATCAATGGCCATCCCAGTTGCTTCAAGTTCAGGCTCAAAGGACAATCCGGCCATGGAGAGATCAACTCTTTCAAACAATGTTACTGAGAATGAAGGACAAACACAAAATGTTGATCAATTGAGTTCTGATCTTGGTACTTCACAGGATTACGGTGGTGGAATGATGAAGGTTGTCCCTTCAGATGTTGATGTAAGTGTGCTTGTCTTGAACTTGGTCTTCTTGAAAAGACGATGTGGTCTAAGATAGATATGCTTAAGCGCCAAACAAGGCAAACAATGAACATTGTTCTTCACTTCCCGTTTCAAAGTGAATATGATTACTGCCTATACAGAATAAGAAGCTGTATAAAGTTCAGCAATTACATGGTAAGATCGGTATTCTTGATTATGCTTTCTAGACATGACAGATGTAGTGTTGCCATGTGGTAGAAAACGCACTAGTATACTGCTGCTTAAAAGAGGAGAAACAGCTAAAAGAAGAAATTATAGTTTCAGTAGTGATGGCCGGGTTTGGGTTGGCACATTTTTATTTGTAAAATTTGCTGCTAAAGGGGTACGCGTTATTTGCATTTTCATGCATAACACTTGACACTAGATAACTTTACATAAAAAAATAGAATAGAATTCCTTCATTCTGGTGCTAATTGTAAAAATTATAAATGCTTCTTGTTTGTTGCAGAATGATGCAGATTACTGGCTCCTATCAGATGCACATGTTAGCATCACAAATATGTGGGAGGCAGATCGTATCCTTGTTTGTTAGGCTTCTTTCATTTGCAGATCTTGTTTGTTCAATCCCTAGTTTCCTTAACTTCAATAATAGCTGCAGTTGAATGGGATGGGGAAAACTTGCTCCATGAATTTGGAATAGCTGATCTAGGTACCCCAAGGGCACATACTCCATCTGCTGTTACTGATGTACCAACCCCAATGAACGTGCCACCAAGATGAGTTACGCTCTTGCGGATAAGCTGAATTTGGAAATTCCAGTCTAATTTAGTCAGAAACAAGAAATCACCGTCTATTTTTTGCTGTTTTGCTCCTTAGATCCCTAAGGGCACTGGACGGTGTACTCACACAAAGCCCAAGGACTGAGACTTTGTACAGTTGCGGAATCTGCTTGACCCCTTTTACATGGTTGATACTTGTAACCAAACAGAGCATGCTGAAGGTGCAAAAGGTGGAGTTAAAAGAATGGGAAGGAAATGTTGGTTATTTATGAAATTCTTGCTCTTAACACCCTCCTCCCCATCGTCTTTGCTTTTCCAGAACGTTTAGGCTACGTGGGAGGTAAAAGTTTTTCCTTCCACAGTAGAGTTCCTTTCCTGTTCGCAGGTCTTCACAACTCAACACTCATCTTCTTTCTGGAATTTAATATTACCATAAGATATTTGAGGTCCTTAAAGCTGCATCATACATTATTATGGGTTTTCCCTTGTTGAGAAAAATTGTCCCCAACATTCTGTTTTACTTTGTTTGATACAAGGATACATATGTGCCCTTAAACTTGTCTGCTATTTTCATTTAGACACTTGAACTAGGGCAAGTACCTATTGAACACCTCAACTCAAGCTAAAGGATACATATGTGCCCCCTAAACTTGTCTGCTATTTTCATTTAGGCACTTGAACTAGGGCAAGTACCTATTGAACACCTCAACTCAAGCTAAACTGTGTTTATTAGATACAACTTGGTGAGGTGGCAGTGTGTATGACACTTTCTTTAAGAGTGAGAGATCAGTTTTTTCTTTTCCTAATTTATTTTCTTTCTTTTTTCTCCTCTCTCATCGACCTTTCCCCCACCCCCACCCCCACCCCCCAAAGCCTATCCTAGTTTTGTTTGCCGGGAAGAATGGAGATAGTTGGCTGCCATCCTAGATATTGGCCCATGGAAATTATCTAAACCGAGCGGATCAAACCTTCTTCCTGCTCAAGCAGATGCCGAACCTCATGGAGATTGTCGGAGAGATTTTTAAGGACCAAATTATCACCTACTCAAGGCTCTTCCATCACTGTTGATGTTTTTTGACATTTGGTACTGTAAACATAAAACTTGCTAATTCTCTCCTATATCCTTGTATTATCAATGGAATCAAATATCATCTTTAATCAACCTTCATATGCGAGGAGATTCAGGAGCTCAAATAAAATAATTGAATTATGATAGCAGATAATTAAAGACAAAGGAAATTATCTTACTATTTCACCAACAGATGCTGAATGGTGGAGGGATATCTTTAAATCCAGTTAAAGTTACAAAGTTACCTCGACAATAGAAATTTAACCTTGATATCACAATTTTATAATCCCATCTTTTCCAAAAATAGTATCAGTTAATTTGAGATTATGGTCTTGAAATAAAATGGCTACTACATAACCCAAAAATGGTAAGATGTATCAAACTTGCCATAAACAGTAGTACTCTGCATTTCCTATCTATTGGGTTTGTTGAGAAGATAAAGGGGGTGATCTATGGAGAAGACTGGCGAGGGGTGCGACGGCGGCCGACGGCAGGGGATTTGGCCGGCGAGGGATTGGGGACAACGATAGGAAGCACATTTTTCTTCTTTCTTTTTCTATTTGTTCTTGTTTTAGATTTTGCTTTTTCTTCTGTTGACATGTCTTTTTTCCATTGGTCGATTGCCATGTCGATAGCAAGTGATACTGACGCACCAAACATAATTTGAGATTATTAAATTTGTGTCTAGTAGTACATATTTGTATCACACAAAGTATTCAATAGGTACTTCCCTTAGTTTAAGCACCTAAATAAAAATAACGGACAAGTTTTGGGGGCCGCATATGTATTTGGCCTTGATACAAAGACAAGATTAGAAATGATCATCTATATCTATATATATATATATATATTAAATCAAGAAAGTTATTATATATAATTGCATTGTGATTAAGCCAAGTGACAAGCTAATAAATACAAATAGTATATGACAACTTTATTTTATATTTGACTATGTTAGTCTCATATATATATAACTGAATTTGAATTAAAGAATAATTTTGAATTTATAGATAAAGTTTTTATATTTGAATTAAAATAAAAAAAGAAATTTATCTTCTTTTTTTTTGGGGTCAAATTATCATACTTAATTCGGTTAATGATCATATGAAATCATGCTAGGAACTTTTGTTATCTTTTCTGATTATTTAAATACTATTGCGCCTATGAAAAAAAACTATTCCATATAACTATAAAACTCTTTCACATTTTAAACCTTATAATTATAGTTCTTTAAAACAATATGGCTAGATTTGAATAAATCGAATTTCTTTTAAAATAAATATAACATATAGGGTACACGTCTATGGTTATCCAGATAATAAAAAAGAGTTTAAAAATCGAATAAAAGTTTACATACATATATAATGAAGTAAACCTACATGCTGGAGAAAGAAACATCACAAAAATCAATCAATATGTAAAACAATTACTTTTTTTCTTTTTGAAAAATGTTTGTTTGAAGAGTCAGTTTGTATAAATGAACATCAAACAAATAACAACATTTTGGCTATACATTTGCTATCATTAGTTTTAATAAGCTGAAACCTCTTCATTTAGCTACAGTCAAGCCAACATTGCAAGGGTTAATATTTTTTTGTTGAAGAATATCAGTTTTGAATCACTAGATTATGTGAAAAGTTATTTTTCTCGAATTCAACAAGAGGGACATTTGTTTCTAATTGATAGTTTCTATAGAAATTTTCAAGTGTAACAAAAAGTATATTTTAAAAAAACTGGTATGACATGATTTTCTTTTTAAAATGTAAATAAATTATTTCAAAATGGGATTATTTTTTAAAATATAATGTAATTTTAAAAATAAAGGATAAGATATTTTTGAATTTTAGTAGAGTTTTTAAATTATTATAATAGAAGTCATATCATGGATAAAATCAAGAAACCGAAATCTTATGAAATATTTACATAAATATCTAGCCAGATTTATTGTTTACTTTTTTATAGCTAATATCCATAGATGATATACTAGCAACACACGATTATACACATATTATATATGGATTATATATAAATTACACATTCTTCATTTTAATTTAAATGGTAAGGCAAGCACTTATTTAGGTTGATTAGATAAAGCAAAAAGAAAAATATGGAAGAATTTCAACTAAAGAAGAAAAATATAAATAAAGTTCTTATGTAGACAATTTCTATTTAAACTCATCCTTTTATAGAGAAATAACTTATTTTTTTGTAAAAAGAAAAAAAAAAGAAAAAAGAAGAAAGACATAAAAAATAAGATAAAAGAAAATAAATATATAAAAAATATATGAAAAATCTAAACACCAGAAATAAGAGATGACAACGATTTTTTTCTTCTGTTTCATCTATGTTAAGTATAAAAAATTTGGAAGTTGATATCATCGATTTTAAATATTTTTTTCAACTCAAGTACATATATAAGACAAGGATATCTTAGAATATATTTTTTAATTTACATTGTGTGTCGTTTTTAGAAAATTACTATTACTAACAAACTGGTATGATATCTGAATTTGAATATAAATGCAATTTGAGTAGTTTTCATTGAGGTTAAGCCAAGTATGGTGTCGAGAAAAACTACTTGGCAATTTGAAGACAATATATGCAATGTTATATAATAACAGTCAACTAATTTAACATTTAATGATTCAAAGAACAAAAAAATTGTATATATATATATATATAGGTTGAGGCAGATGTAGAGTGTTGACAACAGGTTCAATTGAACCCATAACTTTTCATGCTGAGCAAAAATTTATATGTAAAAAATTCTTAAAATTATAAAAATAGTAGATATGAACCCATAACTCTATAGTAATTTAATGAGTTCAATACTAAAACCTTAAAAATTGAATTCATAAAGTATAAATCCTAGATCCACCTTTGTATATAGGATATTCCAAATTCAAAATATGTGGCTAGGCATATCGATAAACTCAAAATGACGCCACATTGAAATAAAATTTTACCGGCTAAAGAATCATTTAAATTCTTAGATATCCGACTAAAATGAATTTTAAATTAAGGATAATATCGTCACTTGCATCATTATAAAGATAATAATTATTGAAATATCTATCTATATATATATATATATATATATA